TGTGTGTGTGTGTGTGTGTGTGTGTGTGTGCATGACTGACCATTCGATACACTGTGGGTGATGTGGTTATCATAGTGCCGGCAGACTTTACTTCCCAGGACATTACCTGGTGCCCATTTTAGCTGGATAAAACGTATTGTCTTTGAATTACGTTACAAATATGCGGTGACGTGAAGATTTAACGCACATCTGCCAGCTCAGTTCTAAGTCACGATTTACAGCTTCGAGCCCACTTAACACTTAACAGATTTTAGACATTTGCGATCTGTAATCTCCGGTCCCCGGGCTCCGGTTTTACAGATCCAGCCTGGAAAGTTTTAAGTGAAGCTTCGTGTTTCGATTTGTTATAGTGTCCAAGCTGAAATTTTAAACTTGAGTAATGCCCAGATTAAATTATACATTCCATTTATAGTGTGATTATAGTTGCCTAAAATTAATTTTCCCTTGAAATAATGATGTCATGTCTATTTTTCTTTTGTAAAGCAGACACTATTTATGGGTTTTGAATATAATGCTATCTACTCAGAACTTATTTCTAGTAACAGAAATGTAATTTTCATAAACAAGCTTTTCTTCAGTAGCCACAGTATGTTTATTTATACTTTAAAGTGTTGTGTTTTACAATACATTGCAGGCCTGATTGTTGTTGTTGTTATCGATCCAGAGGCGCATGAGCTTTCGCCCTATGGCTCATTGCCATGTAGTGAAATTTGCATGTTTTCACAAGCTGTTCTTTTCCTCCGCACAAGGTGTTCCACTTGTCTGGTTTCGGAGGAAGTAGCATTCTTCTAGTTTCGCTGAGATTTGGGCACTCACAGTGATGGTGTTCAACAATTTCGTAGGAGTAGTTACATAGCTGGCACTCTGGGGGTGTGCTGTAGCTGTATGGCTGTATTATGTTTAGATGTCCACTGAGTTGAGTATATTGTGTTCTAAGTCTGAAGATGGTGGCCTGGTCCCTTCTTGTTAGATGGTTATGCAGGCCTGATAAGGACAATTCACCAGGGACCCAAGAAATAGTTTTTCTTATTAGAAATTCCTCTTATCGAGATAACAGATCAGGCATATGGCGATGCACTTACAATGTACCATACAATAATGAATTAGCATTGAATACGACATATGCATGACATAGAAAATATGTGAAATAACTAAAGGTGTTAATGTAAAAAGTTGACATAAATATCGAGTGGATAACGGCACTTTTGACATTTTAAAATAAAAAAATAAAAAATGCCTTTTTGATCTTTCTATGCTACCGTGACGATTAACATATCTGATCTTTCGGGACAGGATGCTGTTTACGGGCCACTTTTCCTCGATGTTCATATAATGGAGGATGTCAGTGTTTGTCTTCTTCTTTGTCCACTGTATTCTAGGACCAGTTCTGTAGCGTTTCAGTTATTAGGCTCCGATTTGTTTCTGACTGAGTAAGAATCATGACTCACATGAAATAATTGCCACGGAGAAGATGCCTGATCTCATATATAAACCAGAAATGATTATTGCTGTGGGGTCTGTGTATTGCTTTGGCCATCTTAAAAGAAATCATTTAACTGACCAGTTTATCTATCTACATTTCAAATATATTCGCATCGTGTTAAAGACTTTTGCAGCTATTCGTGTTCTCGTGCATGTGTGAGTGTGTGTGTGTGTGTGTGTGTGTGTGTGTGTGTGAGTGTGTGTGTCTGTTTTATTACAAATGATTTCTGCTACTACCTGTTATTCCATGCCTTAAATCAACTGTTCTCAAACATTTTTTTTTTCGCCGCGACACTTTGTCGGGCAAAAACAATTTTTGCGGCACACCTACCCATCAAGCGGTTGGATACTTAGGAAAAGAAGGAAAAAAAAAACGTGCACATTTAATGTTCAGTTGTCTTTAATGCGATTAATGAAATAGTTTGGATGAAGTTTTTCATGATTTCTTTTATGTATGTGGGAAGTTTAGTTGATTTAACCTTCAAATCACTTAACCCAGAAAGTTTGCTCCTGTATCTGTTGTGTGTGTGTGGTGTGTGTGTGTGTGTGTGTGTGCGTGTGTGCGTGCGTGCATGTGTGTGCTTGTGTGAGTGTAAGCGTACGTTGAGAATGCACTGCAGTATTGGCAATAGCATTGTTTTCTTAATACATCTGTATCCAGAACTCTTCTTGGCTTCCCGACTGGTATTTCTGTTTTAAACTGCTGTCTTCGCTGATCTCAAGCAGATTTTGAAAAAATGTTTGATTATTGCCGCGGCATCCCAGGCATACACTCGCGGGACTAGTGGGTTTGAGAATAGATGCCCTAGATAGGGGGATTTGTTGTAACTTCTCTATGTTTACTCTGGTGTTTAGTCTTTGGCTGCTCCCTTCTAAAGTTTTACTCTGGTGTTTACTGTTGGCTGTTTCCTTCTAATGTTTTACTCTGGTGTTTACTGTTGGCTGTTCCCTTCTAATGTTTTACTCTGGTGTTTACTGTCAGCTGCTCCCTAACAATGTTTTACTCTGGTGTTTACTGTTGGCTGTTCCCTTCCAGTGTTTTACTCTGGTGTTTACTGTTGGCTGTTCCCTTCTAATGTTGGTGTTTACTGTGGCTGTCCCTTCTAATGTTTTACTGATGTCTTGAACTGTTGGCTTTTCCCTTGTTTACTCTGTTTTACTCTTGGTTCCTTCTAATGTTTTACTGTTGGGCTTTTTCCTGCTCTAATGTTTTTACTCTGGTGTTACTGTGGTTCCCTTCCAGTGTTTTACTCTGGTGTTTACTGTTGGCTGTTCCCTTCTAATGTTTTACTCTGGTGTTTACTGTTGGCTGTTCCCTTTTTACTCTGGTGTTTACTGTTTTACCCTCTCTGGTGTGTTTCGCTTTTCCCTTCTAAAGTTTTATTCTGGTGTTTACTGTTGGATGTTTTCTCTAATGTTTTACTCTCTGGTGTTGCCTCTTAACAATGTTTTACTGCTCCCCTTCTAATGTTTTACTCTGTTGTTTACTGTTGGCTGTTCCCTTCTAATGTTTTACTCTGGTGTTTACTGTTGACGGTTCCCTTCCAGTGTTTTACTCTGGTGTTTACTGTTGGGAGCTCCTTTCCAATGTTTTACTCTGGTGTTTCCTGTTGGCTGCTCCCTAACAATGTTTTACTCTGGTGTTTACTGTTGACTGCTCCCTTCCAGCGTTTTACTCTGGGGTTTACTGTTGGCTGCTCCCTTCCAATGTTTTACTCTGGTTTTTCCTGTTGGGTGCTCCCTAACAATGTTTTACTCTGGTGTTTACTGTTGACTGCTCCCTTCCACATGTTTTACTCTGGTGTTTACTGTTTGCTGCTCCCTCGCAATGACAATTTTCAAACTTTTCTTATTTTAATATCAAAACCCTGCTCTGCATTCAAGCGACAAATGGGTTTTTGGAATACTCCTACTGAAGCCAAAAAATAATTTACACCAGAGCTAGAGGTCGCCAAGAGAAGCTATGGATAGAATAAATATCCAAGGCCATGAATACCAGCATCACGAAGCACAGACAAAAACATTTCGTCAAATGCTTCTTCAAGGCCGGTTGCTAAAAAGCAGATAACCGAAACAAAAATTTTTCCATATGTATGCAAGCACACAAACAGAGAACTAAAACGTTGCTTGTTGCTTGTTCTTTTATGTCTATGTAAACAGTGGATACAGGAGCATTGCCACAAGAAATGATTAGGTTTGAATATGTGTGTGTATGTCTGTGTGTCTGTGTGTGTATGTAACTTCACGCTGTAGGTTTGTGACAGTGAAAAGCATTCTACTGCCAAATCGTTATAAGCTGACATCGTAACTTAGTATGCAAGAATTTCGACGCACCAAAAAGCCACAGCTGTCTGGGAAGGAAAAGGGAAAGAAAATAGAAAACTCTCTTCTTTTTCAGCATTCCGAGCCCTAGAGGTTCAATACCGCAGATATCACCCGCCTCTATGTATCTCTGTGAGTTGTCTTTTGTTTTCAATTGGTGCCTTCAAGTGTTTGCAGACTGGCCTTATATTATGTCTGGATATAATATTTACGGTATCAAAATTATGAAAGAAAGAAATGTGTATTAAATCAATGTGCTTTTTTTTTTTTATTCTCTTCTTTTTTAATCAACAGAAACGAATCAAACGGAAGTGATATATGTGAACGAACCTTTAAACCTAGAAACCACAGGAGTCAAACCGCTGGCACAAGTAAACCTGCTGCTCCACAGTGCTCTGGCAAAATTCCTTCCGTGTATCCTCATGGTTGTCTACAGTGGGCTACTATTGAAGACACTCAGAACCAACATCCGTTTACTGACTCGGCGCCCGTCTCGGAAAACATCGCAAGCAGATCTTCACTCGTGTGCTAGCGATCCTTCTCTTCCTCCACAGCAAAGCGATCCGATGAGCAGTTCAGTTAATCAAACGATGGATTCGGCAACTGATCTAAATACAAACCTCGAGGAACTGACGACTAGGAAAGGAAACGAAAATCTGTGTGTGAAATGCAGTAGCCAAATCCAAGGGAATACCAGTGCCAGTTCTTCTCTATTGCTAGTTCCTAAACAAACAGCCGCAGTAGTAAAGTCTCCAAAACACCGCAACTCTGCAACATCTCAAATAGTCAAGGCTGTAAAGATCCAGCCGACTCGACATCAGGATAACTCACGAACAACACGTATGCTTCTCGTAGTTATAACTTTATTCTTGGTCACAGAGCTTCCCCAGGCGATCCTCATCGTCCTTTCCGCCACAATCCCCGGTTTCTTCCTCTCCGTCTACGTTCCATTGGGTGATATGATGGACATGGTTGCGCTGGTCAACAATGGAATCAATTTCCTCTTGTACTGCATCATGTCACGGGATTTTAGAACGACCCTTTTGGACATGCTGAAGTCGGTCATCAATACGGCTCGAGATATCCCTGGCAGGTTAAGAACGAAGCTGCAGAGATCAGCTGTTACCGGCACACAACGAACACAACAGACCCATACAATTTTGATAGTCACAACACTGAAAGATGGACATATATAACGTTGTGATAAACAAACTGAAATGTGTTGATTTACACCCATAGCTGTGAAAAGAAATAAGTAGACACAGGAGGACACTAATATACGACCTAACTTCGCTTCGTGGAAGACAGTTGGTCAGCCAGTCCACTTAAAGCATGATGTTACCATTAGTCATGTTTATCATATATGTAAGGCAACACGTGTGGAATATAGACATAATTCATATCCAACCATTGAAATAACACTATAGGATGAGACATGCATATTAACCAGGCAATGTGCGAATTATAAACAAGTCTGGACGTAGTGCTTTATCTAGAATTACAACCACTAGTTGAATATGAGATGTGATTAGTCGGTGGTTTCATTGTATTGTACCTAATGCACCAAAATCGCGCAAGAAGGTGGAAAAAAAAGAAAAATCAGAGAATGAAGGACTGCATCCAATCAGAAGAAGAAAGAAGAAGAGAATTGTATTGTAGAAGAATGCACCAAAATCGCAAGAAGAAGAAGAAGAAAAAGAAAAAGAAAAAGAAGGAGAAGAAGAAGAAGAAGAAGAAGAAGAAGAAGAAGAAGAAGAAGAAGAAGAAGAAGAAGAAAAAGAAGAAGAAGAAAGAAGAAGAAGAAAGAAGAGAAGAAGAAGAAGAAGAAGAAGAAGAAGAAAAAGAAGAAGAAGAAGAAGAAGAAGAAGAAGAAGAAGAAGAAGAAGAGGAAGAAGAAGAAGAAGAAGAAGAAGAAGAACTCACTCTAAACCTGTGAAATTGCACAAATTTCCAGAATGTTCTGTCAATTCTTTGACAATGAAAGAAAAAGGGAAAAAGGGGGGGGGGGGGAGTGGGGTGGAGTGTGCAACGAAGGCAATTGGACAGCCTACCTCAGATGTCTTGGCCTAGAATGTGTATAGGCTTAACCCCAACAGGTCATGCGTTTGTTATACAACAGCAGCTGTTTGTTTGACAGAAATTATCACAACTACTTTAACATCGGCTGTTTTTGGCTTGACAGATGCAAACGCGCTTTGTGATTAATAAAATGTAGACATTTTGTCTTGCGTTGGTTTCGACAATGGTACCAAGAGCTGACCATTCAGTGGCAATGGCAAACTACTGAACCTAACATTTGCCTAGAATAACCACAACACCCACAAAATTTTTAAAAAATGTGCTGGGGTTGGTTTTGCAACCTGTAAAGAATATGCAACTAACTTCTTGTTTTTTTTTTTTTTTTTTTCCAGTTGAATGAACGGTACGTATCGATTGTTCCCCACCCTAAAACTAACATCGGTTAATACGTTCAGTTTCTAAAGGCAGGTTTTTCGAGTTCAGAGGCACACCACGTGCAAGCGAGAAAAAATGTGGAGTTTATGCATCCTTTCTGCCAGCAATTTATGGTTGTGAGTCATAGACTATAACTCAATCATTAAGAAGACCAAAATCGGAGCTTTTTAACTGAAAACTGAAATGCCACAGAAAATTAAAAAACAAAAACAGAAACATCCTACGTGATCTGAGCACGGCCTAGAACTGTCTCATCAACAGAATTCTGTCATGAAAGCCGCTTATTTGGACCATGTCAAACGCCATTGTAGTCTGGAGAGAGTGTTGATGGGGGTTGCAGTTTCCGGACAACCAGGCAGACACACACCTTCCCTGAGATGGATACAAGACATGGCAGATACATTGGCTATGAAAGCACGCAAACAAGACCGAAAAACTGTCTGAAGGAAGAAACTTTCTGGCGTGTCGTGGCAAGAGCAATCTGCTGTAAAAATTTATTACGATGATGATGACGTCATGGGGAAGTCAAGACGGCCGGCGTAATGATGACCACATTACCCACCTAGTGCCGAATGGTCTGTAAAAATATTAGGCGCTCTTCCCGTATGCTTGATGCGCCTAAGGTGTGAAAAAGGGATCTTTACCTGTTTTATGATGATGATGATGTCTAGACATCAGCCCTGACTAGTGATCTGTCTTCCTGAACAGGACGAAAACTATTGCCAACACGGCATGCCCATCGAGGCTGTGACTTCTGACGGTCATCATCCCTCTCAGACATAGCACAATCACAATTTGAATAGCACAAAAATTGCAGACCCTGACACGATCACAAAACCATTCTCCTACTTCTTCAGCATTCCGAAACCTTGAGGTTCATTACTCAGATATCATCCGCCTCCGCCCATCTCTCTGGATGGCCTTCTCTTTCTAATTAGTGACACCAAGTATTTGCAGGTCTGTCTGGACGATATCTCTTCATCGTCTGCTGGGTCTGAACCTCTGGGTGGTGAGTTGATACATGGCAAGGCAAATGTGGTCAAGGCCCTTTGGGAACAAGCAACGGAATCAGTAGAAAAACAAGATTATTATGGCCTGGAGAGAAGGAGTCAACTGGGTGTAACTAGAGGGTCTGGCTGGCTCACTACACTCAGAGAAAAGGCAAGACGGATATATACCCAGATTGTGAAAGGTACCATCAGTATTGGAACTATGTGCTGGCTGCTTAAGATGAGGACAGAGCACGCATGGGAATGTCCCGAGTGCTGTGATATCAATTCTAGACTCAACTCAACTCTCCATCGTTTTCTTGGTCTGCCTCGTGGTATACGACCATTCATCCATTTGTGTATACAAAGACCACACAACCATGCGAAAGATTTATCACAGCCAGCGGACACTAACACGACACTTCGTCGCCATCTTGAAAACGGAAGTCCTAATCCAGTTTAATTAATATTGGGTGCTTTACTAATATCCTAACCCCCACATGACGTCACAGGACAGTCGAACATTTTAGAGGTGGTAAGACGGGGTTTTTTCTGGTGCTTTTAACTACCCCAAAACATCTAGAACTGGTCCTAACCCCCGCCCACCTAAATCTCACTAGAGAGTGCCGCCTAGGTCCCACGACTGCATGCAGCCTAGGTCCCACGACTGCATGCAGCCTATCTGCCATTCCCTGAAATATTATACTGACCCGTAAATTTCCTCTGTTTGGGGTAGGATATTAATAAAGCACCTAACATAAAAATGTTTTATAAAGAAGTGAATAATCTTCATCATACATAGCACACTACACACTGTTTCATTGTCTCATGTTAGCGTCGACCTGTAGAGGCTCTCTTGGATCTAGTGGACTGTGTAACGAAACAAATAGAATGCCTACACCTTGTTCCAGAGCTTAAGTTTGGCGTGCACGTCCGTTTCACAGAACTGGCCTCTTTGTATACATTCTGTTGGCTCCTTGCCTCATTGGCAAATGTACTCCGACTTGGGGGGGGGGGGGGGAACCATTAATTAGTCGACTTTAAGGACATGCTTGTTCGCGATCACCGGCTGTAAACTCCGACGATTAGTTCTGGTTGTTTATCCGCTTCTGGCTTGTAGTCTTGTTCCAGAATCTAAGTTTTGCGTATACGTCCGTTTTACGATCTGGCCTATTTGTATACATTCGGTTGGCTCCTTGCCTCGCTCGCAAATGTACTCCGACTTAGAAAGAAAACCCTAATTAGTCGACTTTTATGGCATACTTGTTAGAGGGCAATGAGTATGTTAATCCTACAATAGGGCACAGGAACCCACACGGGGATCTAGCTAGAGCGACTGATTCGCAAGGAGAAAGCACGGGGTATGTGTGGTTGCCATTGTTAAGAAGTAAAGACAGGCGGACTTTCAGTCAGATTGCAGCTGGCACAAATTAGGATGGAAACTTCTCGTTTGCTTTCAATGATGGTGATAGAGTGCACACGGAAACGCCCCTAGTCACTAGTCAATTCATTCATTCGTTCATTCATTCATTCACTCACTCACGTATTCATTCGTATGTGTTAGCGACATTTAATTGCTTCGTGACTGAATGTAGTCATTTCTAAATAACTGTTATACCTCACTGATATTTCTGTGTCCCCCCTTGAAAAGAGCGGTTGGTATGTTGTATTGTGATTTACAGCCAGTCTGCGATATCTGCGTATCTTGGCCCAGTACATCTGATTTCATAAAATGTCTCAGTGTACTTTTGCGACATGTGTGCACGTGTGTGTGTGGGTGCGTGTACGCTTGCGTGTGTGTGTGTGCGTGTGGTGCGTGTGCGTGCGGGCGCACTTCTCATTGCTCTTGTGTCGCGTTAGCGCAGTCGATAGGAGACTCGCTTTAAATCCAGCTGCGACTCGCTGCAGCCCACGGCCGGTGTTCAAAACCGGGCGGTGTCCGGGGTTCACCCAGCCTCTAGGTAATATTTACCAGAGGTAACACTCTAAGGTAAATGGGGGAACGTTGCTGTAGCTAAGGAGTTGCGTGCGGACGGCGACACAGGCTGACAGTTTCTTATCAGCTGTCCGTACTGGTGGCAGAGCACTTGTGGTTTATTACCGTGTGCAATGATGCGGGTTCACATCTACCTTTACCTTTTCAGAGCTCTACATAAGCTGTCTTTGAAGTGGAAAATAGAAGTGTCACTTTGACATTTTGAACGCGCTTTATAATGCCGCGATGCCTTGTTCGATCCCAGCTACGGACGATTTTCTTGCGTTGGTTTCGATAGTGATACCAAGAGATAACCGTTCAGTAAGCAATGGCAAACTACTGAACGTAAAATTTGCCTAGAGAAACCAAAAGGCAGATAAAATAACCTCTGCCTTTGAATATGAAAATGTCTTTGTGCATTATTATCTGTTATTTGTGTAATAACACTGGGAATATAATTACACGAAGATAATAAAACTCAAAAATAAAAACAACAACAGCTTCTAAACTTCTTAGTATTTATTTATCTTCCTAACCTAACATCTGCGGACAGACTGGCTGGCTGTGCACACAAATCAAATGGTTTCGTCCTCTCATTAGAATGCAGTCAGAAGGCACTGAACATGAAAAGCTCTCAAGTGATGAAACCAAGAGGCCATCCAAGGAGGATATAAAATTATGCAATTAAGAGTTTCTACATTTCTATATATTCTTACTGTTTTTATCTTGACGTCTGACCGCTTATTTTAATTATTAATTTGCTACATCTGGCATAAAT